ATACAGACATATCGTCCTTTAAGATCAGTTCATTTACATTTAAGTAGTCTGCGTCTTTTGCCGTTTAGCAGTAGAATATGGGTAATGAATAAAAACTAATGCGAATTATAATCCGGACAATATATTTCTCTAAATTGTCAAATAGTAGTGCACTGTAGCTGATGAATAATGCAATGAGAAGATAGAAATTCACAAAGAGCAGTTACTCTAAAAGTTCAGAAAAATTATTCTCCACATGCGTAAGAAATAGGCGAGGTTAAATGGTTTATGTTTAGATTGTCCTATTGGAAATTATTTATTAACATATTACATAATACTGACATCAATTGGCCTACCTACTAGGGAAAGCGGTAATCTTTCGTAGATTACACGAAAGCGAATGCTATCTTATAAGATGTCCAGCGCCAGTATATATTGATGCTTATAAGAGCGTTGCTATTTTTATTGGAACTTAAAAGTATATTATTTATTTAACGTTTACTGTTGTGTAGGCACTTTTAATTTCGGCCTTTTGTCGATTTATTTGCTCTCTATTCTCTCAGAAATTAAAACAAATGTTAAATTTACTTAGATATTGGCAAAGGTTGGATGGTTCAGCAAGAACAAATGCGAAGCTTTACCATTCAATAACACGGTGCCGAACGCAACGTACAATAATCATACTATTTTAAGCAAATAGTTTTTAAGTAAAACGAGGGCAGTACTTGTATTGATGCGTTTAAAATAAAAAGACTCACCAACTGCCCTGTCATTTTAAATGCTGCAATAATCGCGATGGCTACAATAAAACAGTTCAAATAATTAAAACATAACAAATTGCAAACAGAATAGTGGTTTGCTTTTCAAAACGAAATCTCTAAATTGATAAATGACCAGTATGTGAATGAAGACAGCAGCTTGCTTTAACATTTACAGTATCAAACCAAAAGCCGATGGAAAATATATCGTGCACGGGTATCTTTTGAGGTAAATGAGAAGCGAGGGGTTTGTGGAGTTTCTATTTATTGTGTACAAGAACCAAAATCGCAAACGTTTTACAAGTGGACATGCGGCTGTGTTTTACTTTCTCCATAAAAAGTTATTTTGTGCTTGCATTTATAGAATGCTTGAAGGATCATCCACGCCATCATTTGGCGTGTAAAATGAGCATTTGCATCTGAGCCCTCGAGGAGAGGATACATCACGACATTGCCTTCGGACGAATAATTTCCGGTAGACGATAGTAATAGCATTTTCTTTCCAAACGGTAGTATTTACTTTCTTCGCCGTCCACCTAAAGGGCTTAGATTTACACATGCATCTTGCGAAAAGATAACCAATGAGCACGATTTCGTCTGACATATTTACAAGAAATCTAAGTGATCGAATTAAAAAGCGATTAAAGTGAAAAAAGCAAATAGATATATGATTTAAAAAACAATTCCCATTGCTCAGCATCCAGTGTAATTCTCAACTATGTGTTTAATTAAGTAACTTCCAATATGCTTACGGTTTCGTTTAAGCAGACATACCAGCCTTTGTTAAACAGTAAAATGCTTTAGTCTCGGCTGAATGCATTATGATAGTGAGCATTATTGTAGTAATATTAATTTAATTGTATAACAAGACTACTGACCTTGAAATCTCCTATAACTTGAAACAGTTATATCAGGGAAAACAATTCGAGTCTTAACAACTAAAAAAATTACAGGAGAAGAGAATACGTCTGTGAATTTCCAGGAAGCCTTTATCTCCAATTCATAAAGCAAACATTAAAAACTATGGCTTTTACGAAGTGCAATTGACTTCGGTGGCTGATAGAAAGCAAGCTCAAACAGTAGCGCAAGTAAATAAATATATATGCTATCCCAGTTTACACAGACTTTAAACACAATGTAAGAATTTCTTTTATTAAAAAAACATAGGAACTAATTTCGGTCAATAGTGAATGACGTTAGAAGCAAACAACTTTTAAAAAAGTCGAGGTCTACCAGCTACTTATTCCTTTTTCACAGTTGGTTCCACCCTACAGTACGTGCTGGAAGTGCTTTGTTTACTTTCGAGTGCACTGCAAGGTTTGCGTTTGAATCAGCGTATTGCATTTCCGATAGGCTGATTACAGTTCTAACTCGTCAGTCATGAGTCTTTGCCAACAGTAGCCACTTTATTTTAGCTCTCTACACCCTACAGTACGTGCAGTCAGAGGACAGTGTACAGGGCACTTTCTTTTCAGTCAGCTTGAATTCTTTATAGATTTACGCTAAACCATTGAAGTGATGACTGTCATTTTGGCGAGAGCTGATAAAAAAACTTCTAAAAACGCAAGTTGGATATCGATGACCTCCTGAACCAGCGGAGTTTTCGGCTAAGGCAGTTTTGCGATTAGCGTGATATTTTCCCTATACTGCTACAGGCTGCTGATTCAACCTCAATAGTTATAATTCCTTTATACGTTAAATGCAATCTAGTTAACCGATTCAATAATTTAAAAATATTTTGAATAAAATAAGAAGGCGAGGCTTACCCGTAGCAAGGAGCACAAAAAATATCGATCTAAAGTTCTTTTCAACGGACTTCTTCCATTTATGTATCGCATTGCACTTGATTATTCTCAGCAGGATAAGTATTAAAACGACAATACTCAAGACCACACCGACGATATAAACGATCTTCCCTGGTGACACCGTGCCTAAATAACAAGAAATACACGCAGTTTACCATACGGTTATTCGTAAAATGAATCACAATTCTGTCTGGCACTTATCAAACCGTACTTAATTACCATACCTCAATGTATTCTTATAAATTTATCTATTGAACATGTGGTTAATCTTAAAACATAAAAGAAACATAAATTTTTGATTAAACTGTGCTCTATCCTCATACGAGTTCTAAATTTGTATGATTTCTAGTATACGTTTGCAATGATGTAAAACCATCTTCCTTTAGCCCTAGCCATCATGCCTATTAAAATTTAACTTACTACAGTAGAACAATGCAGATGTATGTATAATAAAATAACAGAAAAGGCGCATTTTAAGGACTGCATTATGGCAACTTGGGGGAGCTGTAGGCGAATGTTGTTGAGATTATTTTTTAAATAATAAGATAAAGAAACTTCGTATTCGTTTGCGCGACAATAATGTCGATTAAAATGTAATAAGCACTTTAAGATGCGCGTGCAACCAGCAACTAAGCACATTGCATGACGCAGGACCGCTCGGCATGAGTACCCTGACGTTTTCAACACTTCTTGAAACAAATAGGGGGAGTTAGAATATTTGGAAAAATGCCAGTTTTTCTCTAGTTTATATATGTAAAAGTCGGCTGTAGTACAATATTGGAGAGCACAACAGTCAGAGCTAACGGCCATCTACTGAGCTAAAGATGCAAAACACTGACAGAGCAGGAAAAAAGTGAATGCAACGGCATGAAACTAATTTCACTACTGTTCGACTTA